GGGCCAAACTAGCCCATAAATGGCACAAGTGCAACATATATTGCACTTGAGAAATATACTTCAAAGAGATGATTTAATGACAACAAAGATGAAAAACCAAATTAACAACAGATACGAGGATTTTGACCGAGATTATGTACCTTGTACCCAGAACTACAAATATGGCACCTAAGCATCCAATTCCAACACAGTTCCAAAATCGGAATGACAGTTTTTATCCATATTACCGGTAATCACCAGATCTGTCCACCCTATTCATATAAGGTAAAAATCCATGTTGGAAAAAATGGATCGAAATGCTCACTGACTCTCTTATTTCTTCACCTTCCCACAACTCACAATTGCTCAAACACTCTCTACTTTCTTTCTTATTTGCTTTGCTTTGCTTGGGATGGATAAAACCATACACAAACCATAGCTATTTATATCCAAGTTCCAACACTAAATTGTGGCTTATACTTTGCCACACATAACTACCACTTTACACCTACTTAACCCCACAAATATCTACACATTTGTGGTTCTTCTTTTTTTCCTTCTTTTCTTAATCCATAATTACCCACATTAATACACTCTAGATAACTCTACACACTTCACAACTCTAACTAGTTGTGATGTTACATTTTTTTTATTAAACTTTATTTTTCAATAATTTCTGCCAAGTGACGGTTCTTCCTCTGCTACTCCATTTTGTTGCGGAGTACCTGGACAGGTCAACTGGCGTCGAATTCGGTGTTGCTTGAGAAATTGTGTGAATACGATTGAAGTGTACTCTCCTCCATTGTCTGTACGAAGACATCTGATCTTCTGACAGACTTCGACTTCGACAAGTTCTTTGAACATTTTGAACTTATCAAATGCCTCAGATTTCTCTTTCATGAAGTAATCCCAGACATATCTTGAGAAATCATCAATGAATGTAATCATGTACTTCATTCCAGACACTGAGGCCTGCTTCACTAGTCCAACACGTCTGAATGGACAAGCTCTAGAGGCATTTTAGACTTGAACTTTGAGTCTTCATAGGGTAGCTGATGAGCTTTCCCATACTGGCATCCGGCACATACGATATCGTCATGGATATCAAGTTGAGGAAGTCCTTTGAGCATGGACTTCTTCATCATCACCTAAGCTTCTGATAGCCAACGTGTCCAAGACGAGCATGCCATAAGCTTGCAGTTGGTTGTAAGCTTCTGCCCTTGCATGATCGGATCAGAAGTTGGTTGTAAGCTTCGATACACCTTCACATCTCTAGGACCGAATACCACATAATCACCAGATGTTGTCAGTTGTGATACTGACATCAGATTCTTTCGCATTCCAAGGACGTGGTAAACGTTTGACAGCTCCACTTGTTGATCGCCAAACCGAGGAGTAATAAGTGTCTCGCCGATGTGGGTAATTGGCAGCTTAGAGTTGTTGGCGGTGACAACCACTCGTCCACCTTTGTACTCGAACACGTTTAAAAGCTTCTGTTCATCACCAGTCATGTGATCTAAACATCCCGAATCCACAATCCAGTCATTTTCATAATCAATGACATTCTTGTCCACTAACATGAGCGCTGACTCTTTAGTGGCGCCTTTTGGAGATTCCGTTGCAAAGGATGCTTGAAAGTCCCATTCATCATCATTCACCTTGGAAGAAGTTGCAACGTTTCCTTCTTCCTTTTTGTGCCAGCAATCTCTGGCTAGATGACCCTTCTTGTGGCAAATGTAGCAATTGCCATTTTCTCGATCATGCTCCTTCCTGTCCTTTCCGTCACCACCCTTGTAACGGTGGTTGTAATTTTTTCTGGGCTCCCCCTCGATAGTTGCCCCCTTTCTTGTCCCACTTTTGCTTCTTCTTGAACCCCTTTTGGCCACTTGTTGATGCAAGAGTCTTCTCTCCACCATTAGAGTCTTTACTTTTGCTGAGCAAGGCATTTTCCTCTTCCTTGATTGACGCCTTTGACATCTTGTCATCGAGAATTTCTTCATTTGCTAGAAGATTCTCCAACTCAGCCAGGGTTGGCTCCTTTGACCACCCTCTTGTTGCTGTCACTATGCCCTTGAACTCCGGTCTCAAGCCACGAATGATGATTCTTCTTGTCCGAGCTTCCGAAATTGGATTTCCCGGGTCAGTTTCGAAATTTCGGCACAAACATTTTTTACTTTGTTGAAATATTGAACAATGGTCAATGTTTCTCGGGATAGTGCCATCAATTCATTCTCCAGTCTCTGGAGTCTCGCCTCATTGGTCCTGGCGAAGATTGTGGAGATAGTATCCCAAGCTTCCTTCGGGGATTTGCTTTCCTTGATGCGAGGTAGGAATTGGTCTTCTGTTTTGACTGCAAGGATGTACATGATCTTGTCTGCATTTTGCTTCCAGTCCTCCAACAACTTCTCATCTTTGGGTGGTGGGATGATGATAATTTCCCAGAGCTTTTGGCCTCTGAGATAAAACTCCATACGGGTGCTCCAACTTGAGTAGTTGGTCTCATTCAACTTCTCCATAGCGGTAACTGAGAAACCCTCCATCTTCTTACTTGGTAACTTCTCCAAGTTCTCTATTTCAGTCTTCCTGAAATAACTGCAGCCTCTGACCGCCTGATGAGGATCTCGTCACTACTGGCTCTCGGTTGAACCAGTTCTGATAACTCAGCACAAGAATCCCTTTTCTGATGTGGAAGATCGGTCGAAGCCGCAACCATAGAACATACGAGGAATAACCTTGATACTGATAACAAAGCACAAGGAAACCTTTTCTGGTGTGGAAGATCGGCCTAAACCGTAACCACAGAGCATACGAGGAATAACCTTGGCTCTGATACCAAATGTTGGAAAAAATGGATCGAAATGCTCACTGACTCCCTTATTTCTTCACCTTCCCACAACTCACAATTGCTCAAACACTCTCTACTTTCTTTCTTAATTGCTTTGCTTTGCTTGGGATGGATAAAACCATACACAAACCATGGCTATTTATAGCCAAGTTCCAACACTAAATTGTGGCTTATACTTTGCCACACCTAACTACCACTTTACACCTACTTAACCCCACAAATATCTACACATTTGTGGTTCTTTTTTCCCTTCTTTTCTTAATCCATAACTACCCACATTAATACACACTCTAGATAACTCCACACACTTCACAACTCTAACTAGTTGTGATGTTACATTTTTTTTTATTAAACTTTATTTTTCAATAATCCAGACCAATATAAATGAGTGGGCATAAGAAATAAATACATAGATCCATTTAAGTTTGGGTTGGATAGGAATTAACAAATAGGTAAGGGTTTTCATATCCAAAACCATACGATACTATATTCACACATGACAATTGAATAAATTTACCGTATCCTACAAGTTAGATTCTAAGGTTTACATTTCTTTCACAATTGAGTCCAAAAACTTTTGATGGAAAATTACTATTTAGCATCTAAAATTTTATTCTCTTACATTCTGATACCTTACTTTTAAAATGTTACAAACACGTCATACTGCTCCTACCATGTTTTCCCAAACTTTGACTGGAAAAGACGAGGGAATCAGGAATGTATAATAAATGTGCTTATCATAATGCTGGTTTCTTCACCCTTCCAAGTAAACAGCAGCACAGCTGATAGGATGGTTAACTTAAAAGTCTCCAATTGAAATAGCTAGCATAGCAAATCAGGAACTAAATGGAGTATACTTTACAACAGAGGCCTGAATGTTTTCGTTTAATATTCAGATACCACCATCACTGGACCCTACTAAGTTAACAACAAACTGTTCTTGCGTTCCTTCTCCAAAGCAGTAATGTGACAAACTCCCACACTTCCCTACTAAGTTAACAACAACCTATGTTTCAAAGCAGGTTGAAAGGGAGTGGGGGAGAAACTCCCACACTTCTCATCCTAGAAATGTGTAACAGTAATGTGACAAACGTTTGGATGCAAATGCACACTGTTCAAGTAAGGGGTAGGCAATCACTGGGTCGGATAGATATTTAGATTGAATCAGACTGGCTTTAACTGGATTCGATTTAGTTTCGATTTCCAAATTCAAGACTATACCTAGATGAAATTTCACTAATTCACTAAAACACAAAGGAAAAGGGGGGATTAGACCAAATCCAAAGCACTTTAAAATGGATTTTGGTACTCATTTCCCTTTTATTTTCGATCTAGTTCGATTCAGGATCAGATTACACACTTCGGATTGGGGTGAAAGGTGTAGTCTTCTTTTCTTTTGTTATTTTAGCTTCATCTTAATATATCACATAAGAGATAGTCAAAATAGGAAGACATAAAAATAACTATTACTTTAACAACTTTCACCTTACCACTTCACCCTTCATAAAACATCAACCCCCCAAAAATAATTATCCTCCTCCGAAAATTCGACACTCTGTCAAGCTATCTATCAAAGTAAGAAAAGCAATTCAAACATAATGTTGAAACTGATCAGTAATCACCAATCTAATATCACTTGACATTGAGAAACTATTTAGTATAATACCAATTTATAGCACTAATGTTTCTTCATGAAAAGATTGGCTAATGTTTCTTTTCAGTGATAGTGCCATGTTCCTCCATTCATTCCAATCCTACACCCCCTCAAACAACTGAAAAGAAACCTGGCACTATCACTACGCTCTTCAACATCCTTCATCAATCTAACTGAGATCAGATTCCTCAAAACACCCAACGACGTCGGGGGCTCAATCTGCTATGCAGAGATTAAGGCGAAGCGAAGCCTACGGGCCAAGAGTTCAGTGCAAGCACCGCAACTCTTGGAAGAGCACAGCCTAGAGAATTGGGAGAAACTGCATCCGTCAACAGGCCCTCATGACAGCAACGGCTCCTACGTACCTGTATTCATGATGCTCCCACTGGACACCGTAACACTCGAGGGACATTTGAACAGGCCGCGGGCGATGCATGCTAGCTTAATGGCCTTAAGAGAGCAGGAATGGAAGGACTGATGGTGGACACATGATGGGGTTTGGTGGAGAAAGATGAACCTCTCATGTACAATTGGGAAGGATATGCTGAGCTTGGGCAGAAGGTGAAACAGCATGGGCTAAAGATTCAAGTGGTTATGTCCTTTCATCAGTGTGGAGGAAACGTTGGAGATTCTTGCAGGTAATTAACTTAAGGTTGAAATTCAGTAGAGGTTACCCTATACATGTTCATCCTTTATGCTTTATCTCTAGGAAAAGGACATCCTCAGCTTACGCTACTGGTATGAATGAATCTTCTCTATGGATTAATTAAATTTATAGTCGGAGAAGTAACTTATCTCACCTAATTCAGTATTTTTTCTTCTAGGACCAGTTTTCTAGTTGATGTCTAGCATACAGTTAGCATGTCTTTAGCAGGTTGATAACAATCAGAAAGATCATAATTCAGGACAAGAAGAGTGACGAGTAACTAACTTTCCTTTTTCCTATTCACAGTGAAATTTTAGCATTCCCCTACCTCCTTGGGTGCTTGAAGAGATAGGCAAGAACCCAGACCTTGTCTACACCAACAGATCAGGACGTAGGAATCCCGAGTACATCTCCTTGGGATGTGAATCATTGGATGTGCTAAGGGGAAGAACTCCAATACAAGTCTACACAGATTACATGAGAAGCTTCTGCAACAGATTCAGAGATGACATTGGAGAAGTTAATGTGGTAAGTTAAAACGAGAATACACTTCCAATACAGTTAAGAGAAATGTTGGCTAATGAAACTGAAAATCGGTATCGGAAATCCAACACTAAACAATCTCAAGAAACACACATTAGTTAACCCATGTAATACCTCATCACAAAATAGACAGTGGAAAACTATCAAATCGACTCAACATCACCAGACAACGCTATTGCTAACTTGCACCCCGTTCAGTTAATTCTTTTCTTCTCGAATCTGTTTCCCTGACAAAATTTCTACTGCAGGCAATCCAAGTCGGAATGGGCCCGTGTGGAGAACTGAGATACCCAGCATATCCAGAAAGCAATGGCACATGGAGATTCCCAGGAATTAGGGAATTTCAATGCTATGACAAGGTAAATTTATGCAAACTATGAACTTACTAATGCTTCTGTCCAGAAAATTCCACCACCCGTTTACCAACTCTCTGCAACAGTGATGAATGCGACACTCAAGTAGGAATGTAAAACTACAACATTTAACAGACATCTAACCCAACTTTCTACATTCTGCAGTATATGAAAGCTTCACTGAAAGCATCAGCTGAAGCACTAGGAAACCCAGCCTGGGGGCAAGACGGACCCCATGATTCTGGCGAGTACAATCAATTTCCTGAAGATACTGGGTTCTTCAGAAATGACGGGACATGGAACACAGAATATGAACAGTTCTTCCTAGAGTGGTACTCTGAAAAGCTACTACAGCATGGAGACAACATCCTATCCGCTGCCGAAGTGATATTCAAAGGAACCGGAGCAAAGCTATCAGGAAAAGTTGTTGGAATCCATTGGCATTACAGAACAAGGTCACACGCACCTGAACTTACAGCAGGATACCACAATACCAGAAACCATGATGGTTACCAACTGATAGCACAAATTTCAGCAAACATGGAGTTGCGCTCAACTTCACATGCATGGAAATGAGAGACTGTGAGCAGCCAGAAAATGCAAACTGCTCGCCACAAGGATTAGTCCATCAAGTAAAGATGGCAACAAAGACAGCCGACACGGAACTTGCCGGCGAGAATGCATTGGAAAGGTATGATGCAGCTGCATTCGGGCAAGTTTTGGCGACGGGTACAACGGCAGCATGCAGTGGATTGAGCGCATTTACTTATCTAAGATTGAATAAGAGGCTGTTCGAAGAAGATAACTGGAGGCACATGGTGGAGTTCGTAAAAGGCATGTCGGAAGGTGGTCGGATCAGGCGATTGCCAGAGTCCGACACTCTGAGAAGTGATCTCTACATTGGCCTTGTCACCGACAGGAGTATCAGGAAAACAAAAGAAATTATCCTTGTATGATTGTCCATTTTCGTCTCCCAATTCCTTAAACCTTGTAGACTATACAATCAAAACTATGGTACTTGTAGAATCATTTACTCCTGGCATGTTATCCAGACTTTGAATGGAATTATGACAAGCAGGAATACAAAAATCTCCTTATCAACTAATGTTCATCAGTCTAAGCTAAAACCAGAACTTTCCATGCATTTTGACTAATAATTCTGGCAGAATTGACCCCGGACTCAACTCTTAGGCAACTCAGCCACTAAAACTTCCCTGAATTTCGAAAAGCTAATTCATCAACAAAACGAATCCCGTAACTTGCGACCTAATCAATGGAGGCTGCACTACTTTCTACATGCCATGGAGAGCAAGCGGAAGCTTACCAATCCGGAACGTGGAGGAGAATGGGCGGAGGCCGGAGAGGTACCACTGCCACTGAAGATTGTCGATACAATTGCATAGATATATGTGAGCCGGTTCTCGTCACCGTCGGCACTGCCATCAGACAATAGGCTAATTTAGTCAGGAAAAAAGAAATTACATCAAAATTCAAATGGAAGCTCCGATACTTTCTGTAAGCAGTCCTGAGCGAGAGGAAGCGTACAGATCAAGAATGCTGAGGAAGACCAAAGGAGGAGGAATCACCGCCGCGGCGGAGATCGTCGATCAAGTTGCCTAGCTCTTTGCGAGCCGATTCTCTCCCGAACATGAAACCGTACCTGGTGAACAATTTTGATCGACTCAATACAACAGAAGCGCGACGGACAATAAGGGAACCGAAGGTTTGAGATGTGTTTACCAGAAAGAAATGGCGGAGAAGGCTCCTGCACTGGCAAAGTTTGAGCTAGACTGCTAGAGTGAGAGGTTTCCCCATTCCCACCTTCTCCTCTTCCCTCTCCTTGGCCTAAGAATTAAGATCAAGTGACTAATGGGGTGTCTCAGTCACTTCACTTGTCTAAGTCAAGTCGATCTAAGCCCTTCAACCTCACTAATATTTGTAAATTACTAAATTTTATTATTTTTGTCAATCATGTTTATAACATTTTTATATCTAAAAAATAATCTCACTAATATTTGTAAATTACTAAATTTTATTATTTTTGTCAACCATGTTTATAACATTTTTATATCTAAAAAATAATCTGGTTGACTTTTGGCAAAACTCTTCTATATATAGACTAGCTTTCGGCCTGCCCGATGGGCGGTTTAAGTTGAAAGTTGAGCACGGCATTACACAATGCGCCGTATGGAATAACTAAGATGTTTTGATTGCATACAAATTTATTGATATTTTTATTGTTTGTTTGTATTTGGCTACTCTAGTTCTTAAGATTCTATGATGGAAAAAAAAATATTATTTTGTTTGGTAGACGAAAAAGAATAATAAACCTGGTTCATAGTTTGTTGGAGAAAAGAAGGTTCAACTCCATATTTATATTCATATGTAAGGAAACTTAAAAAAGCATGAATTCATCAACAAAAATGTCTCAGGGCAGTTTAAATACGCAAGAAGAGATTTAACACCAACAGTGTGATGTATGCTACACTGTGAACTCATGGTATGATCACGAGTTCAAACATTGATACCTTTTTATGTTGAAATATCTCAAAAGGGAGAGATTTAACCAACTTCAATTAACAAAAGGACGTCTCCGAAAATAGCTAAATGGACAATCCTAAACACATACAACAATTAATAATGATCAATTCGAACCTGAATCATCAAACCCACAATAACTCTACAAATGAACATACATGGACATCTCTTAGATGGTGTCCTACCTAAATTAACATGCCATAGAAGAGCAGCAGGTGTCCTACCTAAATTGATCCTTACAACTCAAAGTTTATGTTCCTCTAAAATAAAAGAACCTTGGATCAAAGGACATGATAGAAGCTATAGTGTAGCCTTCATCACATCGGAAGTAATATGATCCACAAATTAGTAAGTCTTGAGTGGTAGATATGTTTTGTTGCCGATCATGAAACAAAAGTAATCAAAATTCGTTTATGAATAAAATAAAACATGGCAAACATCATAGCAAAAGACAACATCCTTAATTAACTGCAGAGATTAGGACTTTACCTAAACAATACCAGCAGTTATGAGAAGAAGATAGGAGGAAATGTGGACAAAGGAATGCATATTGTATTGTGATGAACCAACGTAAATAAAAATTGGATGACCAACGAAGAGGACTGTTGTTGATTGGTTCATAAACCTAACTTTTCGGCAAGCACATCATAGCGAGTATATAAGAATCGCAAATACCATGGTCTGTTTCATTGAACTCCAATATCTATATAATAAAACAGATACGTACGTTGACGATAAAACTTACCTGGATTTGCAGGGACAAAGAGAAGACGGTAGGTTTGGGTTATCAGTTTGGAACTCCAGTAAATCAATATGCAGAATGAAGGCTAGGAATTAATAGCAACAAAATGGAGTAGTGGCTCTAGTGCAACGAAATTATGAACACAACTTAAGTGGGTATGCTTTAAGGGTGTGATTTTCTACCTACGTCTGGCACTATTTTGGCCGAATTTGATGGCGTGATTGGGTGGCTTTGCTGAAGGCCACTTCAGGCTGTGGAGGAGGCGAAGTGGTGCGGTAATCCCTTCGAGCGATATCCACACACACACAATACATGACTGAGGAAGGCGGGTCGATATGAAATTCTGGAGTAACATATGGTTGCCGCCTTTATATGGTAAAAAAGGGGTAATGTAGATATATATGTCGTGCCGAAGGTGGCAGAAGGTTTCAGGTTTTGCCGCTGCAGGGACTGCCGGGGGCCGGGGATGAACAATATTGCAAATTTGGGAAGAATGAACTGTCGCCATTAATAATGAAGCAAACGATGTTTATGAGACAAAGGTGTAATCGAGCAGTGGGAAAGAGGGGTTTCCCCGACGGGATGGGGAGAGAACGAAAATTATTGGGTCCGGATGTGTCGTTGGTAAGATTATCAAAGCGCCGGCCATGGGGAAGATTTCGGGGGGGGGGGGGGGGTAATCGTGGGGAAAGAGAAAGGGAAAAAGTTCTTGTTAGTCGAATTTGGTGGGGGGTTATAGCGCTGACGTGGAGGCATAAAATTTCTGGAAGGAGTACGTGGCAGGGGTGCTAAATAAAAAATGCTTTAATATTTTTTAAGATAAAACATCCAAGTCAACCTGTGTGTTTTCCATTCTGTATGATTTGTCGGTCTACTTTGTAATTTTTGTCCACCATGTTTGTAATGTTTTTTATGTCTAAAAAACAACCTGGTTGACTTTTGGACAAATCTCTTCTATACAGAGATGAAGCCTCCAAAGCCAACCCGGGTGTTTTTCCATTTTGTATGGTTTGTCGGTCTATTTTGAACTTTTTGTTCAACATGTATGTATGTCTAAAAAACAACCGGTTTGACTTTGGGATGGTGCCCCTCTATATAGGGATGAAGTCTCCAAAGTCAACCTGGTGTTGTTTTTCCATTTTTCATGGTTTGTACTGTCTGTCGGTCAACTTTGTATTGCTTTTATAGCTCGTATGTTTGTATTGTTTGTAAATTTGTTTGTATATGGACCTAACTCCACATGGTTCTCTTCTCCTCCGGTGTAGAAGCAAAGGGTATAGAGGGCCGTTTCAAACTCTAGGCTTACCCTGATTAACGTGTTGAACACGGACTTCAGAACTCCATTCCATTTGAACTGAATAGTCAGCAATTGATAGATTTCGACTGTAACAGAGGGCTGGTATGTTTGATTCAGATTCTGAAGAGTGGATGTTACTTCTAAGGAGAAGACGTTACATAACATTTCAAAAATAATGCCTGTGGAAGAGAAGAAATCAGTCATTGAAAACTCACTCCCTTGATAATCCCTTATTTTTTGCACAGATTTGTTAAATTGTCTTTATGGCAAGTAAACATAATTCTTGCATCTTAGATTTAGCTTTTGATTTGTTTTCCATGAGAACACCAAAGAAGTTAAAATCGGGATATTATGTAAAATCGAAAATGGGGTAAAATTGGAATCGTAAAATCGAATCATAAAATTGTAGGATTTTAAGGTCCATATAAAACGGAATAATATTAGTAAGGAAAATCATGAATAACACAAAAGCACATAACACTTACTATGATAATTTTTCAAGGTTAATGTTTCAATTTATCAAGATTAATGTTGAGAGGCGATGATGATTAATATGTTGATGTGAATTGATTATAGTCCATGGTGGTTAGTGTGAGAGAACTAAATGATGTTGGTGGAGAAGAAATAGAGGCATCATTTTGCAAATTTTGGGGAAAATAAGTGAAATTGGGTCAAAGATTTGAATCGGAAAATCGTAAGATTTTAAAGATTTAAATCGTGAATAGTGTAGAATTTTAAGGTCCATAGATTTTATAGTGAAATCAGAATCGGAATAGGTAAGTAAAATCGTAAAAGCATAGGATTTTAGGATTTAAATCGGAATTTTAGGACACCAGCAGGACTTGTCTTGCCACTCTATAAGCAGCCCAGTTGACCATCCACAGTCTGCGAGACAGACCTAAATGAAGAACAAGAACGCAATAGATGAAAACAGTCACGAAGCAAGGGGCCTCCTACCAAGTCTGCACAACATATACCTTTAAATTGTCGAATGGTCACGTTAGAATCACCTTCAATAATGACTCAAGGAAGGTTTCTGGATAGCACTAGAGAAATATTAAGACCAAGCTTAGTTTAAGAAACTTCTTAAACCACAAAAACGGCTTAGGATAGGGTGAGTAACCCTTTGTTACTCACCCGTGAGTAACCACCTTAGGACCGTAGATCTGGGCCGGGCTGATCGTGTGGCTGTGGTTGATGCGGTGATGGTCAGGGGCATTTTTGTCCGAAACTTGAATTAATGACTTCCCCCTTTTGTCCGTTGCGAATCTTTCTGTGCGCGAGTTGGATTCGGTTTTTGGAGAGAGAAACTGCGAGCAGCAGCTGAGAAACAGGGGACGGCGATTCTCCATAATTGATCGACGGCGATAGAAACTGCA